GTGTACTGTTTTCCCTCCTTGTAAATCTCACATTTGATGATGGACTACAGGTTCTCAATGGGGTCCAGATCAGGTGAACAAGGAGGCCATGTCATTAGATTTTCTTTATTTGTACTCTTTTTGTTCTTTTTGTTGTGCTCTGCTTACCATATCATCTAAGCTCTGTGGCTGGGCTTGCCACACAGTCAGCGTCATTGGCTGAGTGCTGGAACTGAGAGGGAGCTCTTAAAGGACCACTCTAGGCACCCAGACCACTTCAGCTTAATGAAGTGGTCTGGGTGCCAGGTCCAGCTAGGCTTAACCCATTCTTTTATAAACATAGCAGTTTCAGAAAACCAATAACGCTGTGGAGTACTTGGACGCGTGTGATGAAGCATTGTCCTGCATGAAAATCATGTTTTTCTTGAAGGATGCAGACTTCTTCCTGTACCACTGCTTGAAGAAGGTGTCTTCCAGGAACTGGCAGTAGGACTGGGAGTTGAGCTTGACTCCATCCTCAACCCGAAAAGGCTAACAAGCTCATCTTTTGATGATACCAGCCCAAACCAGTACTCCACCTCCACCTTGCTGGCGTCTGAGTCGGACTGGAGCTCTCTGCCCTTTACCAATCCAGCCACGGGCCCATCCATCTGGCCCATCAAGACTCACTCTCATTTCATCCAGTCCATAAAACCTTGAAAAGGTATCCAGTCTTGAGATATTTCTTGGCCCAGTCTTGGCCGTTTCAGCATCATGTCTTTATTTCAGTGAGGTGGTGCGTCTTTCAGCCTTTCTTACCTTTTTTGTGCTTTTTGGGCACTCAGTGATGTTGCAGCTCTGAAATATGGCCAAACTGGTGGCAAATTGGCATCGTGGCAGCTGCTGCTGTGACTTTTTACTCAGTTCATGGGCAGTTATTTTTGCGCCTTGGTTTTTCCACACGCTTCTTGCGACCCTGTTGACTATTTTGAATGAAACGCTTGATTGTTCGATGATCACGCTTCAGAAGCTTTGCAATTTTAAGAGTGCTGCATCCCTCTGCAAGATATCTCACTATTTTTGACTTTTTCTGAGCCTGTCAAGTCCTTCTATTGACCCATTTTGCCAAAGGAAAGGAAGTTGCCTAATAATTATGCACACCTGATATAGGGTGTTGATGTCATCAGACCACACCCCTTCTCATTACAGAGATGCACATCACCTAATATGCTTAATTGGTAGTAGGCTTTAGAGCCTATACAGCTTGGAGTAAGACAACATGCATAAAGAGGATGATGTGGTCAAAATACTCATTTGCCTAATAATTCTGCACTCCCTGTATAGTGGTCCTTTAAAGTGATCATGAGTTGATAAGGATGAATCCAGATCATCCACCACTGGACCACCATGGATCCTGCTCACCCACTCCAGGGCCAGCAGGGGCGGTAAGCAGGAAGGGGAGGACATGCAAACAGTAGAGAATAAATAGGGAGCACACCCCATAAAAAGTAACAACATTTTTATTAGATAAATCTATATCCATACATTAATGTACAGATATCTGCATGTTGCAGATATAATACAAAAACAATAAGCCTCCCCATATAGCTCTCACCCTTTTTCACACACAACACTCAGCAACTACACACACTCTCACACATCTCAGTCAACACCCACCTGTCATGCCAAAAGCATGAGTTGGTGTTTGATGTGTGTTTATATATGTTAAGAGTTGTTTTTTTGTAAACCTTGGGATGACATTTATTGTGGTCTTTGATCTGGCACCAGGCTTAGACCATAAAACATCTAGATAGCCATCACCAGAGCTGGACACAAGGAATTTCATAGAGTGGGCAATAGACTGCCAGACCAGCCCCCTCTGATCCCCCCCCCCCAGGGGTCTGCCCACTGAGAAACAACTAGTTTAGATATATGAGGGTGTTGGACTATCCAGGGAAGTCAGTTATTCATTTTTCTTTTTGTCAGTAACTTCTAGGAGATCTATACCATCTAAGACTCCCACAAGAATTCTATATGGGGTAAATATATGTAAGGAATTTCTTGTGTTTTCTCCTATTTTATTTTATGTACTGTTTTGCAATTTGTTTTCTGTATGTCATTTATTTCTGTATTTTGTACTCAGCACTGTGAATCCTTTTTGTCAGATTAAATGTTTACTTAATCAGCTTGTGTCTCTGTTCTCTATGAGCTTCACTCTCCAGAGGAAAGCTCAGGTAAACACGTTACCAAAAAGGGTTAACTATACATGTTTTATCAGTAAAAGTAGAACCGTGATACTATAATTCTCCTGTGTGTGGGGTAACCTAAGACGCCCGGGTTTAAAAGTCTTGGTGGTGGCAGTAGTACTAAGGGGGATAGTGTAGAAGGGATTGCAGGGGTTAATTGAGTGGTTGCTGGGACTAGCAGCAGGTAACCAGGGGTCTGGTGTCATTAACCCTGTCACTTCCACACTCTCCCCACTGTCTCGGCTGGGCCTATAGTCCACGCACGTGACAAACTGGCAGCAGCTGGTGGGATATATTTAGAGATTTTTAGTGCTTGCTAGATTTTACCTGTAAAGGGGGTCGTAGCACTAGAAGAAATTGCATACTTGTTTTTGTGTAATTTCCAAAGACCAAGCTCAGTGCTGATTTAAAATACATTCAAAGTGCAAAACAGTTCTCCCCTCCCATCTTTTGTTTTTCTTTCTCTATCCTATTTATGAATATGGAGGCCTATCGCAAACAATCAAAAGAGGCCTTGGAATTGTTGTGCCAAGAAAAGAATTTACCAACTTTTGGCAAAAATAAGGCACAACTTATTGCTGACCTTGTGGAGGCTGACAGCCATATTTTCCAGCCAGAGACGGATACTGAAAGGGTTACCGAGCTCCCTACTACTGCAGCAGTGTTGCTTACTGAAATGCCTGCTGGTTGTACCCAGGGCCGGCCTTAGGGGTGTGCGAGCTGTGCGGCCGCACAGGGCGCCATGGCAACAGGGGCGCCGGGCGGCCAACACAGCTCGCAGGCCGGCCGAGTTCTGTATTTAAAGTGCAAGTCAAGTGCATAATACTGCTTTGCACTTGACTTGCAAATTATGAGCAGAGAGCCGCCGCCGGGAATCCACTTCTGTATGGAGGGTGGAGGAGGAGCGTGGGGGCGTTATGCCGCGTACTTGCGTAACGTCGACGTGCTCTGTCATCAGAGGGAGCCGCGGAAGGATCCAATTCAGTGAGTGAAGGCGGCACCCGGTGCTCTTCAATCGGCGGAGACAGCTCAGTCCAGGGAGCAGCAGCCTTTACTGTGAGTGACTTTTTTTTTCTTTTTTATTAAATAGGTTTTGTTGAAGAGGTGCAGGAATTTAATTAAGGGGGGCAGGGGATTGATGAAGGGGTGGCATGGATTGCATTAATTGGCAGGGGATTTATTAAGGGGGCTGATAAAGGGTGGCAGGAAACTGAAAAGGGGGGCATGGGGCTGATTAAAGGGGGCAGGTGGTTGATAAAGGAGTGGGAGGGGATTGATGAGGAGATCAGGGGGCTGATGAAATGGGGGCAGATGGCTGATAAATAGGTGGGAGGGAATTGATGAGGGGGCAGGGGACTGATGAAGGGGTGGCCAGGGGTTGGATTATTTGGCATGGGATGTATTAAGGGGGCTGATGAAGGGGAGCAGGGGGTTGAAAAGGGGGGCATGGGACTGATTAAAGGGGGGCAGGTGGGTGATAGGGGTGGGAGGGTACTGATGAGGGGGTCAGGGGGCTGATAAAAGGGGGAGGGGATTGGTGAGGGGGTCAGGGGACTGATGAATGGGGCAGAGGGCTGTTAAAGGGGTGGGAGGGGATTGATTAGGGGGTCAGGCGGCTGATGAATAGGGGCAGAGGGCTGAGTAAAGGGTGGGAGGGAATTGATGAGAGGGGCAGGGGACTGATGAAGGGGTGGCAGGAATTGATAAAGGGGTGGGAGGGGATTGATGAAGGGTAAGGGGTGGCTAGGAGTTTGACGAAGGGATGGCCAGGGCATTGATGAAGGGGAAGGGGTGGCCAGGAGTTTGATGAAGTGGTGGCCAGGGGCTTGGTGAAGATCTGGCCAGGGATTTTGGTTAAGAGGTGCAGTGGTTTTGTAGAAGGGGGTGGAGGCAACAGATTGTGAATGCTCCTAAAATAGTTTGAAGGGGTCCAAACAGAGACAGGTGAGGGGGGGGCGCCACAAGATTGTTTCGCACAGGGCGCCTGAACACCTAAGGCCGGCCCTGGTTGTACCCCTCAAAACATTAAGGACATTTGCTCAACTGATTTATTTCGGCAACTGATGGCTGCAAATCCTCAGGAGGCCCTGCATGTGATGATCCAACAGCAGGCTGCAGAAAGGGAATCTGCAGAGAGGCTAGCCGAAAGGGAGGCACAAAGGAGACATGAGCTGGAACTTGCTAAACTGCAATTTACCCTTCAGTCCTCACGGAACAGCAATGCATGAGAGTCCAGCACACGTAGGCTCCGTAAGGATGATTTTCCTTCCCTCGAAGAAGGGACAGATTTGGATGTATTTTTAAAATGTTTTGAGAAAGTATGCCGGCAGCATCAACTACCCTCAGACCAGTGGGGCAGATATTTAACTCCACAATTGAAAGGGAAAGCCTTGGATGTGTTTGTGTCCCTTCCCCCAGAGACTGATAACAACTATGAGGCAATCAAATCTGCATTGCAAAAAACTTTTAACCTTACTCCTGAGTCTTACAGGAAAAAGTTTAGGAGTATGCAGCAATGCCCATCATCCAGCTGCATTCTATATGTTGCACAATTAGAAACCACGTTCCGGCAATGGGTAACAGGAGTACAAGCTACTACCTATGAAGCCCTTAATGACTTACTGGTCCTGGAGCAGTTCTTGCAGACCCGGAGCCCTAATGTACAAGAGTGGATTTTGGAAAGAAAGCCAAAAAATGCTAGGGCTGCTGCAGAACTGGCAGATTACTATGCCGACATCCATGCACCCACATCCAGGCGTGGACTGGTGTCAGCTGCTACTTCGACCTGGAGAGAAGCTACAGTTCAATCACCACCTGTAAGATCTGCAGTGAGAACTTCACCTCCGACTGCCAGCGTAGCCGGGGCTATGTCAAGTGAGTCAGATGCCCGCCGTTGTTTTCGATGCAACCAGATTGGTCATCTGAGCAGGACTTGCCCCACTAGGAATATGCCCTCACCAGCCCGTGGAGGGGCACCATCAGTTTTGCTTGTGGGTGGGTCTGTGGGGAAACGAGAGGATAACCTGCAGAGTGTAATTGTGGGTGACCGAGTAACCATGGACTGAGAGATTCTGGAGCTTCCTTCACCCTGGTGCGACCTGAAGTGGTGAATACGGAGGACATAATCCCTGGAAGAACCATGTCCATCAAAGGAATTGGGGGTGTGCGTCCCGCTGTGCCCTTGGCACGTGTGTATCTTGATTGGGGTGCGGGCAAAGGTTTGCGGGACGTGGGGATTTCGGAGGATATCCCTGTTAATGTTCTGTTGGGGAATGATTTGGGCAGGATGCTCTGTCACTATGCTCCAGAGGACACTGTTTGTGAGCCAGAGGGGCTGACTGCTCCACCTAAGGTATTGTGTGAAACTATGGGAGACATTGTGAACTGTGATTGCTGGGAGGGAGAGCAGGGTGTGGATAAATATCTACCTGTAACTGAACCAGTGATGTCTACCAAATGTGAGATAGGGGTGAGTAGTGATGTGCCTTTATTAAAATACTGTGAGGCTGGGATGTCAGAGAGTAAGGGAGAGGAGGAAGGTGACAGCCAGGGTAACAAGTCAGCAGTGGTAACAAGTCAGCAGTGGGTCACGGCTGCAGAGTCTGAGGGGCTATGTGAGATTGTGAGAGGATGGCCTGCCTTGGAGAAGAAATTATGTGAGTGTGTGCAAAATTCTGTATCTGATCAAGGGGGGTCAAATGTGTCCTGTGAAAATGTATGGGAAAAGCCTTCCAGCAAGAGGGGGCTGAATGAATATATGTGCCAATATGTGCCTGAAGCCGATGTATGTGATGTGGTGGGTGAAAATGTGAAGGGACAGCAAGGCTATGAAGGAGGGCAGAGGGTGTGTGAGCTTTACTCTGCACCAGACTTAGCCAGTTTCCAAAGTTTGGTATGTGTGATGACCTGGAGTGAAAGTGAGGGGCACGGACAGACTCAGCCTGTGGGTCCAGGAAGGATGGCTGCAGGGAAACATACTGTTGGAGGAACCAGGAACCTTGTCAGTTTATCACAACTCACGCATACACCTAAGCAACTTTCTGATTGTGAACCAAAGGTTCAGAGTCTGATAGTGCAACAAGCCCAGCAGACAGACCGCAAAATGAAAGAGATGATGGGTGTTGATACAGCACATCTATCCTGGGAGTGTTCTCTGTCTGCTTTTTTGTGTGCTTACCGGGGAGTGCTACAGAAATCCATTGGTTTCTTCCCCTTACAACTACTACATGAGCGCAGTGGGTGTGGTTTAAGGGATGTTACCAGAGATCGATGGGGAATTGAAACAGGCAAATCAGGCATGTTTGTTGAGGATGTAGCTGTGGTATGGACTGATCACAACATGCTGCAGGTGACAGGTAACACTGATAAACTGCTCCATTGGAGCCCTATCCTCCAACAGTATAATTTCACTGCCCAGCACAAAAAGGGCAGCTTGCATGGGAATGCAGATGGCCTGTCTCGGCAACTAGAGGGTTAATGGTAGACAGATAAATCAGCCTGTGGCTGAATTTTTCTGTCCACCATCTTAAGGGGGAGGTGTCATGCCAAAAGCATGAGTTGGTGTTTGATGTGTGTTTATATATGTTAAGAGTTGTTTTTTTGTAAACCTTGGGATGACATTTATTGTGGTCTTTGATCTGGCACCAGGCTTAGACCATAAAACATCTAGATAGCCATCACCAGAGCTGGACACAAGGAATTTCATAGAGTGGGCAATAGACTGCCAGACCAGCCCCCTCTGATCCCCCCCCCCAGGGGTCTGCCCACTGAGAAACAACTAGTTTAGATATATGAGGGTGTTGGACTATCCAGGGAAGTCAGTTATTCATTTTTCTTTTTGTCAGTAACTTCTAGGAGATCTATACCATCTAAGACTCCCACAAGAATTCTATATGGGGTAAATATATGTAAGGAATTCCTTGTGTTTTCTCCTATTTTATTTTATGTACTGTTTTGCAATTTGTTTTCTGTATGTCATTTATTTCTGTATTTTGTACTCAGCACTGTGAATCCTTTTTGTCAGATTAAATGTTTACTTAATCAGCTTGTGTCTCTGTTCTCTATGAGCTTCACTCTCCAGAGGAAAGCTCAGGTAAACACGTTACCAAAAGGGTTAACTATATATGTTTTATCAGTAAAAGTAGAACTGTGATACTATAATTCTCCTGTGTGTGGGGTAACCTAAGACGCCCGGGTTTAAAAGTCTTGGTGGTGGCAGTAGTACTAAGGGGGATAGTGTAGAAGGGATTGCAGGGGTTAATTGAGTGGTTGCTGGGACTAGCAACAGGTAACCAGGGGTCTGGTGTCATTAACCCTGTCACTTCCACACTCTCCCCACTGTCTCGGCTGGGCCTATAGTCCACGCACGTACACACACCACTCACAGAAACATAGCCCAGGGCTCTAAGATAGGGCCCCAGTCTAGCACACTGCCTATGGCCCTGGGCAACCTTAGTCTGGTTCCGGGTGCAGAGAGAAGACAAAAGTAATTCAAGAGGTAAGCTAAGCTAATAATCTTTAGCTATTCATTATGTGATGAATGGTTATTATTGCACCAAGGTCTGCTACACGTTTTAAAGTCCTTCAAGTGAACAATATATATAGTATTTGGTTAAGAATTATTGCTATCTAACATTTTTGTCACACCACACAGCCATGAGGTTAAAATATGTGTTTTTTAAGTAAAAAAAAAAAGAAGAAAAAAAAAAAGAAGAATCATGTTAATTACTGAACGGTCTCCTGCTAAGCGATCTGAAATTTACACAGATAAAACCAAAATTGCATTAAAATTATTTCATTAAACAGAGTTTCGACACAGAGAAATAAACATGTTGTACTCAGAAAATATATATAAAACCTTTACTGAATGTGAACATGCCAGGAAACTGTCTCACTACCAACACTAATGAAAACCAATTACTTTTTTCATCAATCAGTCAAAAGTTGCAGTCAACCAACAAATGCTCAATAAATATGACACACACTGAGTGTTGGCATGCATGTAATCAATCCCAAATAGATTGTCTATTTCTGGACAAGCAAGGATTGAGTCACTATTTAAAAGTAATGTGTTTCACCAAGAACGTTCTAGAAATTGTTGACAGTTCGTTGTTTCATTTATTCATTTTTCAGCATTCTATATTTCTATTTCTTTCTCTATTGTGATTTCTGAATAGTTAAGAAGGTTCTCGTTCTGCATACTATGACTCCACCAAACTATATATTTTCTAGTTAATCAGCGCTCCACTTATTATCCATTTCTTTTATATTAGATTTAAACCTAACTAGTGTTGAGCAGCAGATTATATATTTTTTGCTATACAAGGACCTGTTTTTTTTTTTTTTTTTATTTATTTATTTTTTTATTTTATTCCTTTTCTTATACATACAAATATGGATATAAATACACTAAGGCAGAAGGTAGATACCAATGCTACAAGGTGCTTTGGAATAGATATTCTAAGGGAATATTCCACTAAACACAATAGAAATTTCCTATTTTTAAAGTTAGAAAGACTATTAAAACAAGAATTAAAACTAAAATGGGAAATCGCTACATTGCAGCAATATATTATTGATAACATAACTCCCCGAGGATTAAGGTTATTTAAAGATCCAGCGTTTCCCATCGAGTATCTTGAACTCAAAGAAAGATGGTATGAAACAATGGAAGATTGTTCATTTGTTTTTATGGATATTATTATTGAATGTAGGAAAAAGAAGTTGGTAGAATTAGATCAGGAAATTAAAGAAATACAAAATATCCTAGAATCTTTGGAAGGAGGTGAAAACCCAAAGGAAAGGATTGTTAAAATAGCCGAAAGTGTAGACAGACTGGAGGAGGAGATAAAAAAAACGAAGAAGAAAAAGTTTGTACGTGATATGGATGACTACAAAAATGATAGAGTCAGAAATTTTCAGAAGAAATATGACTCATACCATGAGAAGAAGAACTTTCAGGAGAACGAGACATATCACCAATCTAAAAGAACTGAATATGAAAACCAGAATAGAAATCAATATGAGAGAAGAAACAATAACAATTGGAATGGAAGCTCCAACCAACAGTCAAGAAGATTTAAAGTTAGAGAGAATCCTAATTTGATACCAGTCAACGAAAAAAGAAGAACAAAGGAGAGCTGGAGAAGATCTGTGAATAATATAGAAGGTGATCATTTGCTGAGGAGGAAAGATATACCATTAGTCCAAAGAAGAGCAGAGACAAAGCATAAGCAAAATACAGAACGTGAAGGTTTAAGAATTTCAAGAGGTCAAGATGAGCGGAAACACAAAATGCCACTCAATACCAACTTTAATAGGAGGAATGAAATGCACAGTAGAAATAAAGATAGGGAAAATGAGAAGACATCTGAAAGAAGATCGGAGGAAGAATATGTGGAGACCCCTACAGGAGGTAACACAGTAACGGTCCAAGCTGAGGTACATAATACCACAAGATAGGCGGTTTTTTTAGGAAGGAACACCAGAGAAATAACCACATGGTTTCATCCGATGACACCAAGAAGGTCCAAAAGAAAAGAGTTAAACCTAGAAGAAATAGAGGAGGAAGAAGAACAAGGGATAAGCAAGAAAAAGACCAAGAAGAGCACCCAGTAGGAATATTTAATCTTGCTGGCATACAACTATCACCCCACCACATTACAGCACTCAATAAAGGATTAAAATTTGCACCGACAGCACATTTGGATAAATTTGAAGCAACCATCGATGTTAAAAGGTTTATAAGAAAATTAAGCATCAAAAAACATTTTCATCAGATACCAGATTTTCCAGTAAAAGAAGAGCCTCTAAGTAGGTTCCAACATAGTCAATTGAGACCAACTTCTAAATTTTATCCTTTGAATCAAGTATCTGCTGGGATGGAAATATATGAGGAATTAGTAACTGATGATATAAGGAAGATGAAAAAGAACAATCATTCAAGGAATAACTTAACAAGTAAAGAAAGAGAAGCAATTAAGGATCTAAGTAATAATGAAAAGA